AAGAGAACAGGTGCTCCAGTAATTCTGGAAACTTCTATCAGCAGAGTTGAGATCCTCCCAAAATTCAAGTTATATATAGGGCTAAAAAAAGGGGGGAGCCTGGGGAGCTCAGTTGGTTAAGTGTCTGCCTTCAGCTTGGGTCATGATCCCAGGGGCTCCCTGTTCAGCGGGAAGACTGCTTCTCCCTCTCCCCCTGCTTGAGTTCTCTCTCTTGTCTCTCTCTCTCTGTCAAATAAATCAATAAAATCTTTAAAATCTTTAAAATATATATATATAAATAAAGAGCAAGAGTTTTTTCATTACAGAAGGGGAAAGGCAACATGAAATATTAAGTATACCCAATTTCAGACCCCAAAGATGGAGAACAATGCTATTAGAATACATCTTAGTTCTGAGGCACCTGGGTGGCTCAGTCAGCTGAGCGTGGAACTCTTGATTCCAGTTCCCTCATGATCTCAGGGTCGTGGAGTCGAGCCCTGCCCTCGGCAGGGAGTCAGCTGGAGATCTCTTTCTCTCCCGCTGCCCCACCCCCTCTCTTATAAGTAATGCCTTAAAGATTTTTATTTATTTAGAGAGCTGGGGGAGGGGAGGGGCAGAGGGAGAGGAAAGAGCGTCCTAAGTAGACTCCGTGCTGAGCATGGAGCCCAATGTGGGGCTCCACCCCACAACCGTTAGATCATGACAGAACTGAAATGGAAAGTCCAAGCTCAACTGAGCCACCCGGGCACTCCATTTTTTGAAAGATTTTATTTATTAAGATTCTCTCTCCCTCTGCTCCCCACCCCCCAACCTGCACTCTCTCAAACAAACAAACAACAAAGAAAGAATACATCATAGTTCCTAAACTGGGACCTACTTTTTTTTTTTTTTCTATTTTAAAAGAAATGATGTAAATGGGTTCTCTGAAACAAAAGCACATTTTAAAGAGGAAATGTGCTCACAGTTTGGGAAAGTCTCAAAGGATTTAATACATGCTTACAGAAAGATTGGCACAGTCAGGATGTCAACAATGCTTTTCTACTGAGGGTCAGGACTGTGGCCAAAATAGTTATCCTAAGAACAAGAACCATTCTTGATAGGTATGTATACAAATCCGGAGGTTACTCCGACTCTGAACAATACTAGGGATCAGAAGTCCTAAGCGAACTCAAATTCCCTGAGGACAAGACCTTCCAGATATCCTGGAGATAGGCTGACTCTTTGCCTCTAAGCCATACAGACTGGTGAGACTAGTGGTTTTCTAACGCAGTCCACAGGAGTCTGGAAGGGGGTCTACCTGTTAATCTTATGTAATATGGATGCCTACATTATGATAATGTCGCACAATGTTCTGTCATCCTCTTAGACATCAACCACTATAGACTCTGCCTCCAGAGTCTCTCCATGTCATCCTTTTCATTTCCACTGCCATCACCTAAGCACAGTTCACCTATAATTCTTGCCTATCACATTGTAGTACCTCCTAATTTTATTCGCTTCCAATCCTTTTTCCCTCAATCCATTCTACAACCCACAATTAGAATACTGAACCTAAATTACAGCATACATCACAGTACTCTAGTGCTCCGTGGATCCCAACTGCCTGAAAAAGTTCAAAGCTCTTTGACCTACTCTCAAAGCCCTCAGTGGTTATCATCCATCCTACTTTTCTAGCCTTTACATAGCCTATATTAGTAAACATTCAGATTCATCCATTCAACAATGGAGTGTCTAGGCATGGCTAGGGTTACAGAGGGAAACAGTAAATGTCCCCATTAAGTGGACAGCCAGTGGAAGAGACAAATAAAACTGAAGAGTAGCCAGGGTGGGAAAAGGAAAACCAGGACAGTGAGGTGCTCTAAAAGCACATAAAGAAAGTGTTTCAGGGGCGCCTGGGTGGCTCAGTGGGTTATGCCTCTGCCTTCGGCTCAGGTCATGATCCCAGGGTCCTGGGACCGAGCCCCGCGTCGGGCTCTCTGCTCAGCAGGGAGCCTGCTTCCTCCTCTCTCTCTGCCTGCCTCTCTGCCTACTTGTGATCTCTGTCTGTCAAATAAATAAATAAAATCTTTAAAAAAAATAAATAAAAGATGACTGGCATAAAGGAGAGAATCAAAGAATCTGGGTTCTAGGAAAGGCTTTTTGAGGATGTGAGAGAGGACATCAGGTTTGTATGTTGGCAGCAATGATTCAACAGAGAGAAACTGACACAAGAACATAAACGGATAGGGACGCCTGGGTGGCTCAGTCCATCAGGCGTCTGGCTCTTGGTTTTGGCTAGGTCATGATTTCAAGATGGTGAGCTCCAGCTCAGCGTGGACTCTGCTTCAGATTCTCTCTCCCTCCCCCTCCTCCTCTGCCCCGCTCACACATGTGCATACTCTTTCTCTCTAAAAATAAAATCTTTTAAAGAAACAAAACAAAACAAAACATAAAGGGAAAACTGCAAGTACTTGAGACAAAGAAGTGGGATCCAATGCACAAGTGAAGAGGCTGGGCTGGAAGGGTTCATTTATTTTACCCGTACAAAAAAACAGGCAGAATGGTGGCAGGAATAAATTAGTAGATTTGGTGGTGAGAAATGAAGTTTTTCTCTTTTGTTTGCTTCCATTTTCTCAGTGAAGTAAGTTAAACAGTTGAGAATGAGGAGGGCAGGAAGGAACACTGGAGGTTTGGGGACAGAAGAGAAGGTGTGCCATAGTCATCTTGGACCATAAGGGAGTGAACTGAAGAAATGCAACAGGAATGCTGAGCACTTGAGATTTCTGGCTGTAAACTTAAAATGAAACCAGCAATGCATTTCCTTTTTCAGCCTTTAGAAAGATAAAGCATTTGCACTTGCTGTTTCCTCAATCTCTCTCCCCTTGTCTAGCTGATAAAATTGCATTCTAGAAAGCCCACTAAAAAAAGCTATCTTCCATAAGGTCATCTGCCTCTCCTAGCCCAAAGTGATTTTTCCAACCTCTCAACTCCAAATATAAATTGTTGATGCCTCCTAGAGAGCATATATTTCATCCCACATGGTTAGTACTGTGCAAGATTAAAAGTTTCATAAACTAGGGGCGCCTGGGTGGCTCAGTTGGTTAAAGCCTCTGCCTTCGGCTCAGGTCATGATCCCAGGGTCCTGGAATCGAGCCCCGCATCTGGCTCTCTGCTGGGTGGGGAGCCTGCTTCCTCCTCTCTCTGTCTCTGCCTGCCTCTCTGCCTACTTGTCTGTCAAATAAGTAAATAAAATCTTTTTTTAAAAAAGTTTCTTAAACTAGAGAAATGATTCTTTTTAAATTTTTACTTAAATTTTAATTACCATACAGTGCAATATTGGTTTCAGGAGAATTCAGTGATTCACCACTTACACATAACACCCAGTGCTCGTCACAAGTGCCCTCTGTAATGCCCATCACCCACCTAGCCCATCCCCCACCTCCCTCCCTCCATCAACCCTCAGTTTGTTCTCCGTCATTAAGTCTCTTATGGTTTGTTTCCCTGTCTCCTTCCCCCCCCCTTCCTATACTTCCATCTGTTTTGTTTCTTAAATTCCACATGTAAGTAAAATCACATGGTATTTGTCTTTCTCTGATTGACTTACTTCACTTAGCATAATACGCTCAAGCTCCATCCACATTGTTGCAAATGGCAAGGTTTCATTTTTTGATGGCTGAGTAATATTCCACTGTGTGTGTGTGTCTACCACATCTTTATCCATTCATCAGTCGATGGACATTTGGGCTCTTTCCATAGTTTGGCTGTTGTTGATAATGCTGCTATAAACATCAGGGTGCATATACCCCTTTGAATCTGTATTTTTATACCCTTTGGGTAAATGCCTATTAGTGCAATTGCTGGATCACAGCGTAGTTCTATTTTTAGTTTTTTGATGAACCTTCATACTGTTCTCCGGAGCGGCTGCACCAGTTTGGAGAAACCATTTCTTATTCATTACAACCACGGGGTATTTCTCTCCATCCTCTCTGCCACATATTATAAATCCCCATGGTTCTAGTTCTTGCCCAAATACATAATTATGGGATATAGGTGCCCTATTTCCTTATTAAACTGTGATATTTTGGGGAACAGGAACCTTGCTCACCTTTCCAGCTTATGTGCCTCAATCACCTGGCTCTTGAATTTTAGGTATTATGATTATTTCTACAAATGTTTTTAACAAAAAAAGGGGTTGCTTCCTTTAATGTCAACTCACACATATGGCACACAGCAGGATCCCTATCCTCAAGAGGTTTTTACCCCTAGAATCAAAAGTGCCTCATACTCAGTAAAAAAATAAAAGGTTTCCGGAGTCTCGGAATAGGTGCCAATAGAGTAAGGCTTACACATAAATAACCAGAGACCGTGGAGCAAAGATGGGGGATGAGAGGAAGCAAGTAGGGAGGCAGGAATAAAACGTACCAGGGGCAGAACAATTTCATTTAGTCAACTTACATATAAATGATCCATAGGGCAGTTCTTGGAGCGTCCCCATCTCCAAACAATGTTGCACTGAGAGCAAAGGTTGTGCAAAATAACTTCAGGTCCCCAACAGTGCCCCTAAGGACCCGTATAGCTAGACTGTTGCTCCCCAGCCGTGCCAGAACTGCCCCATCCCCTCTCCTCAATCTCCGAGTGATTCAATGGGTTAAGACTTTGGTACCGGGAAAAAAAAGCCTCTGCCGCAGAAGCAACAGCGGGGGCTCGAAACCAGGTATTTGGGAAGGAAAGCGAGGAAACCATTAGCAGGCCCAGACCCGCACCTGCGAAAAACTGGAACCCAAGAATCTAAGCGTCCGCGCCGCCCTTACGTAACCGGCCGCGCTCCCCTCGGGCGCCGGAAGACCCCGCCCAGCCCTTAAGCCCCGCCCCTACCTCTACCGGCCGGTGAGGTGCCGTGCGCAACCTCCGGAAGCTGCCGCCCCTTTCCCCTTTTATGGGACTACACTTTTTTTTTTTTTTTTAAACTTGCTGACGCCACCATAGGACTGGCCCTAAAACCAAGATACAGAAGCTCCTCTTACAGTCCTACTTCCGCTTCCTTCCACCGAGGGGTTAGGGCCATCCCCCATTTTTCTCACCTAGGAGGCGGCGGCGGCGTCGGCAGCTTGCGATGTTTGGCCTCAAAAGAAACGCAGTAATCGGACTCAACCTCTACTGTGGGGGGGCCGGGTTGGGGGCCCGCAGCGGCGGCGCCTCCTCTTCGGGAGGGCGGCTTTTGGCTTCGGGGAAGGAGGCCACGGCCCGGCGGGAGGTAGGGGGAGGGGAAGCCGGTGCGGTGATTGGCGGAAGCGCCGGCGCGAGTACCCCGGCCACTCTCGCGCCGGACGCCCGGAGGGTCGCGCGGCCCTCGCCCATTGGCGCCGAGGGCCCCAACGTCACCGCGACCCCCCCGAGGCTGCTGTTCTTCGAGCCCACCCGCCGCGCGTCGCCGCCTGAAGAGATGGAAGGCCCAGCTGCCGACGCCATCATGTCGCCCGAAGAGGAGCTGGATGGGTACGAGCCGGAACCTTTGGGGAAGAGGCCTGCTGTCCTGCCTTTGCTGGAGTTGGTGGGGGAGGCCAGCAGTGGCCCCTGCACGGACGGCTCACTGCCCTCGACGCCACCCCCAGCAGAGGAGGAAGAAGACGAGTTGTACCGGCAGTCCCTGGAGATAATCTCTCGGTACCTGCGGGAGCAGGCAACGGGCGCCAAGGACGCGAAACCACTGGGCGGGCCTGGGGCTGCCAGCCGGAAGGCGTTAGAGACCCTCCGACGGGTCGGGGACGGGGTACAGCGCAACCACGAGACGGCCTTCCAAGGTAAGGGGGTTAGTCGCCGAGGCTGCACTGCCTTGTTTCACCTGTCCCTGGACTCACCCACCAAAGGTGGGTGGAAACCGAAAACAAGTAAGTGTTGAAATGACTCGTAATCTATTTCTGAACCCAGAATTTTCTGGCCGTGAGTCATTGTATCCGCCCATCTTAATTCTTTTGGAAATGGCAGCTCTGTTCAAAGCCCGGAAAGGGTGGGATGTCAGTTTTCAACTGGGGTCGGCCTAAGTTCTATAGACCCCAAATAGCAATTTCCCCCGCCGTGGGTGGGCGGACAAATCATGCCCTGGTTTAGACAAAGGAGGCCGTGAGAACCTGCATGCTTTTCTTCCTCTCAGGCATGCTTCGGAAACTGGACATCAAAAACGAAGACTATGTCAAATCTTTGTCTCAAGTGATGGTCCATGTTTTCAGTGACGGAGTAACAAACTGGGGCAGGATTGTGACTCTTATTTCTTTTGGTGCCTTTGTGGCCAAACACTTGAAGAGTATAAACCAAGAAAGCTGCATCGAACCATTAGCAGAAAGCATCACAGATGTTCTCGTAAGGACAAAACGAGACTGGCTAGTCAAACAAAGAGGCTGGGTAAGTTTGTTTTAAGGTTGAAGAGGGGTCTTGGAGTGGAAATGAAATGAAGGATTTTATAGAGAAAGTCTGGGGCTCTCTAAAGCATTTTAGGATGCACAACTCCGGTTTCAGCCTCCAACTTAGGATCTCTGTTTGCCTACGTTGATTTAAGTAGTGAGTTCACAGAGATAGTGTGTATGACCGACTTGAATTGTTTCATCAAAAATCCGGTTTTCTGTAGGCTATTTTACTGGGTGTTGAGTCTTTTGCTTTTGGTATTGTAATTCGACTGGATATTTTTCAGTGGATTCAAATTATGAAAAAACTAATCACTTGAGGATAATAAGTAAACTAAATTTCTGAGAGCTGCGCTGTAACCCCCCCCCCAAATGAATGTGTCTTTTGTAGGCTGGGTAAATGATAATTGGTTCATTATGTTTTGAGGGGGGCAGAACTTTAGATTTTTTAAATTCTTTTCTTTATGAATAGTGTTTTTAAGCCAACGGAAACCCATATTTGAAAATGTGCTTTTCTTTTTTGTTTTCTAGGATGGGTTTGTGGAGTTCTTCCATGTAGAGGACCTAGAAGGTGGCATCAGAAATGTGCTGCTGGCTTTTGCAGGTGTTGCTGGAGTAGGAGCTGGTTTGGCATATCTAATAAGATAGCCTTTTAAGTGCAATAACTGACTTTTAACCAACCCCATGCAACAAAAACATGTGTGACTGCTGTGAAATCAAATGTATTTATGAAGTTGGACTTTGAGCTGTCCAGGCTGTAACCTCCGAGAGTTCTCCAGCAACGTAGAACAGCAAGTGGCAAGAGGATTATGGCTAACGGGAATAAATACATGGGAAAAGTAGTCCCCCTTGAAGAGTCACTGTCTAAAAGAAGCAAAGTTCAGTTTCAGCAACAGGCAAACTTTGGGAGGCCATGGAGAAGAACTTTTAGATTTAGTGAAGATGGTAGGGTTGAAGAAACTTAATTTCCTTGTCTAGAACAGGAGAGTGGCCAGTAACCAGGCTAGTCATAGAGTCCATTAAATATGTCCACTGAATTCATTAACTTCTTAAAGTGTTACAAGAGAAGCACTAACAATGGCATTGATCTATATAAAATGGATTTAAGCTACAGGTAATAGAATATGACTAGAAGCCTCAGTACTGTACAACAGAGTGTGAAGGGAAGCTTTTTCTCTGCAATTAGCCTTCCCAGGTATACTTCTTGAATGGAAAGTCCCAAGTGTTCAGGACTTTTATACCTGTTCTACTTTGGCTTGGTTGAGTGGTTTAGTTTATTAGCCTAGTAATGGCCAAGAATACTTGACTTAAGGCTCAATAATCACAGTTGCAAATATGAGAATATCCTCAATTTTTAAGGCAAAAACAACTTGTAAATGTATTGTCTGTAAAAATTGTATATATTTTTACAGAAAGTCTATTTCTTTGAAATGTAAAGGGATGAAGAGTCTCGAAGTACATTAGTTTTTTCATACCCGTTTGAAATTTACAACTTCTGTAGTTAGGAATCTATTTCTTACAGCTTTTCTATTCTAAATTTTGTCTTGGTCAGTTGTAGATTGTATACAGAACCAATTGGTGTAGTTGTACACAACTTGGTTGTAATGGAACAATACTGATTCATAACTATGCAGACTTTAATTTTCCTATCTGGTTGGTAAGTATTCCTCAGTTTTTGTTTTTGTTTTTTTAAACTTGGGATTGAGAAATTGAGGAGTGGAAATTCATCCTTTCACCTCCTTACATGCGGGTTTTCAGTAATTGAGTCAAAGTGGAGTTTAAGTTTGGGGCAGGGGGCATGGGCTGATAACTTACAAAATAATGGGCTCTGGTTGGTGAGTAACTACTCACTTGAGTTCCTTATATTTGACCTAATTTAACTGGTGAAATTTAAATTGAATTTATGAGCTCATCTTCAAAACTTTTGCTAAAAGATTTTCAGCTGTTCCAAGTGGGACTTACTAACAGTATGTATATAAAAAGATCACATCAGTGGATGAGAGATATTTGATCCCTTGTTTGCTTAATAAATTGTAAAATGATGGCTTGGAAAAGCAGGCTTACACTCTAACCATGGTGCTATTATTAGGCTTGCTTGTTTAAACACAGGTCTAAGCCTAGTATATGAATAAAACAAATACTTATGTTTCATTTCTATTAATGATTCCCAAACTTTGTTTCAGATTTTTGTATTGGCATCTCTTTGGATTTCAGACTTGACATGTTATTGAACCTGACTTTTTATTTTCTGTCTTTGCTGCTTAATTCTCCCTCTATAGATAGTTATTTCAGTTCTTAATATCCTTACCCTGCCATCCCTGAACTCTTACTAGCCCTTTTAATTTTTGGCACTATGAACCCTACATAAGCCCCTAAACCCCCACCCCAGGAGACCAGAGACCTTCATCCTTAATGAATTTTATTCTCGGGATGTGGTAGTACAGTGGGTGCCATGACCATAACAGTCATGTGGTAGGAGGAGTCCCTTTTCCGTTGCTTTTCAGTTGCTTCATCCTGTCTTGGGGGGGAAAGTTTTAAAAGCCCCTTTAGGAATTTTCAGTTCAGTTCAACCTTTCAGTTGCTTCATCCTGTCTTGGGGGGGAAAGTTTTAAAAGCCCCTTTAGGAATTTTCAGAAGCCTCTGCCTTCGGCTCAGGTCATGATCCCAGGGTCCTGGAATCGAGCCCCGCATCTGGCTCTCTGCTGGGTGGGGAGCCTGCTTCCTCCTCTCTCTGTCTCTGCCTGCCTCTCTGCCTACTTGTCTGTCAAATAAGTAAATAAAATCTTTTTTTAAAAAAGTTTCTTAAACTAGAGAAATGATTCTTTTTAAATTTTTACTTAAATTTTAATTACCATACAGTGCAATATTGGTTTCAGGAGAATTCAGTGATTCACCACTTACACATAACACCCAGTGCTCGTCACAAGTGCCCTCTGTAATGCCCATCACCCACCTAGCCCATCCCCCACCTCCCTCCCTCCATCAACCCTCAGTTTGTTCTCCGTCATTAAGTCTCTTATGGTTTGTTTCCCTGTCTCCTTCCCCCCCCCTTCCTATACTTCCATCTGTTTTGTTTCTTAAATTCCACATGTAAGTAAAATCACATGGTATTTGTCTTTCTCTGATTGACTTACTTCACTTAGCATAATACGCTCAAGCTCCATCCACATTGTTGCAAATGGCAAGGTTTCATTTTTTGATGGCTGAGTAATATTCCACTGTGTGTGTGTGTCTACCACATCTTTATCCATTCATCAGTCGATGGACATTTGGGCTCTTTCCATAGTTTGGCTGTTGTTGATAATGCTGCTATAAACATCAGGGTGCATATACCCCTTTGAATCTGTATTTTTATACCCTTTGGGTAAATGCCTATTAGTGCAATTGCTGGATCACAGCGTAGTTCTATTTTTAGTTTTTTGATGAACCTTCATACTGTTCTCCGGAGCGGCTGCACCAGTTTGGAGAAACCATTTCTTATTCATTACAACCACGGGGTATTTCTCTCCATCCTCTCTGCCACATATTATAAATCCCCATGGTTCTAGTTCTTGCCCAAATACATAATTATGGGATATAGGTGCCCTATTTCCTTATTAAACTGTGATATTTTGGGGAACAGGAACCTTGCTCACCTTTCCAGCTTATGTGCCTCAATCACCTGGCTCTTGAATTTTAGGTATTATGATTATTTCTACAAATGTTTTTAACAAAAAAAGGGGTTGCTTCCTTTAATGTCAACTCACACATATGGCACACAGCAGGATCCCTATCCTCAAGAGGTTTTTACCCCTAGAATCAAAAGTGCCTCATACTCAGTAAAAAAATAAAAGGTTTCCGGAGTCTCGGAATAGGTGCCAATAGAGTAAGGCTTACACATAAATAACCAGAGACCGTGGAGCAAAGATGGGGGATGAGAGGAAGCAAGTAGGGAGGCAGGAATAAAACGTACCAGGGGCAGAACAATTTCATTTAGTCAACTTACATATAAATGATCCATAGGGCAGTTCTTGGAGCGTCCCCATCTCCAAACAATGTTGCACTGAGAGCAAAGGTTGTGCAAAATAACTTCAGGTCCCCAACAGTGCCCCTAAGGACCCGTATAGCTAGACTGTTGCTCCCCAGCCGTGCCAGAACTGCCCCATCCCCTCTCCTCAATCTCCGAGTGATTCAATGGGTTAAGACTTTGGTACCGGGAAAAAAAAGCCTCTGCCGCAGAAGCAACAGCGGGGGCTCGAAACCAGGTATTTGGGAAGGAAAGCGAGGAAACCATTAGCAGGCCCAGACCCGCACCTGCGAAAAACTGGAACCCAAGAATCTAAGCGTCCGCGCCGCCCTTACGTAACCGGCCGCGCTCCCCTCGGGCGCCGGAAGACCCCGCCCAGCCCTTAAGCCCCGCCCCTACCTCTACCGGCCGGTGAGGTGCCGTGCGCAACCTCCGGAAGCTGCCGCCCCTTTCCCCTTTTATGGGACTACACTTTTTTTTTTTTTTTTTAAACTTGCTGACGCCACCATAGGACTGGCCCTAAAACCAAGATACAGAAGCTCCTCTTACAGTCCTACTTCCGCTTCCTTCCACCGAGGGGTTAGGGCCATCCCCCATTTTTCTCACCTAGGAGGCGGCGGCGGCGTCGGCAGCTTGCGATGTTTGGCCTCAAAAGAAACGCAGTAATCGGACTCAACCTCTACTGTGGGGGGGCCGGGTTGGGGGCCCGCAGCGGCGGCGCCTCCTCTTCGGGAGGGCGGCTTTTGGCTTCGGGGAAGGAGGCCACGGCCCGGCGGGAGGTAGGGGGAGGGGAAGCCGGTGCGGTGATTGGCGGAAGCGCCGGCGCGAGTACCCCGGCCACTCTCGCGCCGGACGCCCGGAGGGTCGCGCGGCCCTCGCCCATTGGCGCCGAGGGCCCCAACGTCACCGCGACCCCCCCGAGGCTGCTGTTCTTCGAGCCCACCCGCCGCGCGTCGCCGCCTGAAGAGATGGAAGGCCCAGCTGCCGACGCCATCATGTCGCCCGAAGAGGAGCTGGATGGGTACGAGCCGGAACCTTTGGGGAAGAGGCCTGCTGTCCTGCCTTTGCTGGAGTTGGTGGGGGAGGCCAGCAGTGGCCCCTGCACGGACGGCTCACTGCCCTCGACGCCACCCCCAGCAGAGGAGGAAGAAGACGAGTTGTACCGGCAGTCCCTGGAGATAATCTCTCGGTACCTGCGGGAGCAGGCAACGGGCGCCAAGGACGCGAAACCACTGGGCGGGCCTGGGGCTGCCAGCCGGAAGGCGTTAGAGACCCTCCGACGGGTCGGGGACGGGGTACAGCGCAACCACGAGACGGCCTTCCAAGGTAAGGGGGTTAGTCGCCGAGGCTGCACTGCCTTGTTTCACCTGTCCCTGGACTCACCCACCAAAGGTGGGTGGAAACCGAAAACAAGTAAGTGTTGAAATGACTCGTAATCTATTTCTGAACCCAGAATTTTCTGGCCGTGAGTCATTGTATCCGCCCATCTTAATTCTTTTGGAAATGGCAGCTCTGTTCAAAGCCCGGAAAGGGTGGGATGTCAGTTTTCAACTGGGGTCGGCCTAAGTTCTATAGACCCCAAATAGCAATTTCCCCCGCCGTGGGTGGGCGGACAAATCATGCCCTGGTTTAGACAAAGGAGGCCGTGAGAACCTGCATGCTTTTCTTCCTCTCAGGCATGCTTCGGAAACTGGACATCAAAAACGAAGACTATGTCAAATCTTTGTCTCAAGTGATGGTCCATGTTTTCAGTGACGGAGTAACAAACTGGGGCAGGATTGTGACTCTTATTTCTTTTGGTGCCTTTGTGGCCAAACACTTGAAGAGTATAAACCAAGAAAGCTGCATCGAACCATTAGCAGAAAGCATCACAGATGTTCTCGTAAGGACAAAACGAGACTGGCTAGTCAAACAAAGAGGCTGGGTAAGTTTGTTTTAAGGTTGAAGAGGGGTCTTGGAGTGGAAATGAAATGAAGGATTTTATAGAGAAAGTCTGGGGCTCTCTAAAGCATTTTAGGATGCACAACTCCGGTTTCAGCCTCCAACTTAGGATCTCTGTTTGCCTACGTTGATTTAAGTAGTGAGTTCACAGAGATAGTGTGTATGACCGACTTGAATTGTTTCATCAAAAATCCGGTTTTCTGTAGGCTATTTTACTGGGTGTTGAGTCTTTTGCTTTTGGTATTGTAATTCGACTGGATATTTTTCAGTGGATTCAAATTATGAAAAAACTAATCACTTGAGGATAATAAGTAAACTAAATTTCTGAGAGCTGCGCTGTAACCCCCCCCCCCAAATGAATGTGTCTTTTGTAGGCTGGGTAAATGATAATTGGTTCATTATGTTTTGAGGGGGGCAGAACTTTAGATTTTTTAAATTCTTTTCTTTATGAATAGTGTTTTTAAGCCAACGGAAACCCATATTTGAAAATGTGCTTTTCTTTTTTGTTTTCTAGGATGGGTTTGTGGAGTTCTTCCATGTAGAGGACCTAGAAGGTGGCATCAGAAATGTGCTGCTGGCTTTTGCAGGTGTTGCTGGAGTAGGAGCTGGTTTGGCATATCTAATAAGATAGCCTTTTAAGTGCAATAACTGACTTTTAACCAACCCCATGCAACAAAAACATGTGTGACTGCTGTGAAATCAAATGTATTTATGAAGTTGGACTTTGAGCTGTCCAGGCTGTAACCTCCGAGAGTTCTCCAGCAACGTAGAACAGCAAGTGGCAAGAGGATTATGGCTAACGGGAATAAATACATGGGAAAAGTAGTCCCCCTTGAAGAGTCACTGTCTAAAAGAAGCAAAGTTCAGTTTCAGCAACAGGCAAACTTTGGGAGGCCATGGAGAAGAACTTTTAGATTTAGTGAAGATGGTAGGGTTGAAGAAACTTAATTTCCTTGTCTAGAACAGGAGAGTGGCCAGTAACCAGGCTAGTCATAGAGTCCATTAAATATGTCCACTGAATTCATTAACTTCTTAAAGTGTTACAAGAGAAGCACTAACAATGGCATTGATCTATATAAAATGGATTTAAGCTACAGGTAATAGAATATGACTAGAAGCCTCAGTACTGTACAACAGAGTGTGAAGGGAAGCTTTTTCTCTGCAATTAGCCTTCCCAGGTATACTTCTTGAATGGAAAGTCCCAAGTGTTCAGGACTTTTATACCTGTTCTACTTTGGCTTGGTTGAGTGGTTTAGTTTATTAGCCTAGTAATGGCCAAGAATACTTGACTTAAGGCTCAATAATCACAGTTGCAAATATGAGAATATCCTCAATTTTTAAGGCAAAAACAACTTGTAAATGTATTGTCTGTAAAAATTGTATATATTTTTACAGAAAGTCTATTTCTTTGAAATGTAAAGGGATGAAGAGTCTCGAAGTACATTAGTTTTTTCATACCCGTTTGAAATTTACAACTTCTGTAGTTAGGAATCTATTTCTTACAGCTTTTCTATTCTAAATTTTGTCTTGGTCAGTTGTAGATTGTATACAGAACCAATTGGTGTAGTTGTACACAACTTGGTTGTAATGGAACAATACTGATTCATAACTATGCAGACTTTAATTTTCCTATCTGGTTGGTAAGTATTCCTCAGTTTTTGTTTTTGTTTTTTTAAACTTGGGATTGAGAAATTGAGGAGTGGAAATTCATCCTTTCACCTCCTTACATGCGGGTTTTCAGTAATTGAGTCAAAGTGGAGTTTAAGTTTGGGGCAGGGGGCATGGGCTGATAACTTACAAAATAATGGGCTCTGGTTGGTGAGTAACTACTCACTTGAGTTCCTTATATTTGACCTAATTTAACTGGTGAAATTTAAATTGAATTTATGAGCTCATCTTCAAAACTTTTGCTAAAAGATTTTCAGCTGTTCCAAGTGGGACTTACTAACAGTATGTATATAAAAAGATCACATCAGTGGATGAGAGATATTTGATCCCTTGTTTGCTTAATAAATTGTAAAATGATGGCTTGGAAAAGCAGGCTTACACTCTAACCATGGTGCTATTATTAGGCTTGCTTGTTTAAACACAGGTCTAAGCCTAGTATATGAATAAAACAAATACTTATGTTTCATTTCTATTAATGATTCCCAAACTTTGTTTCAGATTTTTGTATTGGCATCTCTTTGGATTTCAGACTTGACATGTTATTGAACCTGACTTTTTATTTTCTGTCTTTGCTGCTTAATTCTCCCTCTATAGATAGTTATTTCAGTTCTTAATATCCTTACCCTGCCATCCCTGAACTCTTACTAGCCCTTTTAATTTTTGGCACTATGAACCCTACATAAGCCCCTAAACCCCCACCCCAGGAGACCAGAGACCTTCATCCTTAATGAATTTTATTCTCGGGATGTGGTAGTACAGTGGGTGCCATGACCATAACAGTCATGTGGTAGGAGGAGTCCCTTTTCCGTTGCTTTTCAGTTGCTTCATCCTGTCTTGGGGGGGAAAGTTTTAAAAGCCCCTTTAGGAATTTTCAGTTCAGTTCAACCTTTTCAGTTGCTTCATCCTGTCTTGGGGGGGAAAGTTTTAAAAGCCCCTTTAGGAATTTTCAGAAGGAGGGGACAGCAAATTATGTGACTTTCTTTAGGTTCCTTTGCGTTCAAAAATGCTCATTTAAAATCCTAGAGACAGGCTCTGTTAAACTTCAAAGAGTTACATAAAAGCTACTGGTAAACTGAAGAAAGCTTCTATAGTAGACCAGGGTCATTTGAAAGCTTCATCCATAGAACATGACCTTTAGTCTATGGACTCCAGATGAAAATAGGTATGAATAAAATGACTAAGAATGTAATAGGGAAAGATTGCCCTGCCTGCCCATCATCGAGCCATAAGGTCATCTAGCTAGAGCTATTTTTACCTATGTATTTATCATTCTTGATCATGAACCATTTATTTATGTCAGGTTTATCTCTAAGGACCTAAAAGCACTTTATGTAGTTTCTAATTAATCTTAAAATCTGGTAAAGGTGACTAAAAGGCCTGTCTCCCCATATGCAGTTGTGGAAATAAGCACATAGATGTAAATTGGAGGAGTTTAGGGAACCCACCTCCCTGTTTACTAGGTGTTAACTGCTGAAATGTAGAGGAGGATGTTAGTTGAAACTTTGGGTCGGGCTCTCAGGGCTTAGGGAGCCCAAGTGCTTTAGGGAAGGGTGGGTGGTTTTCTAGGGAGAGGAGGAGGCACGTGTTCTAAGTGCTGACTAGCTGCATAGTTCAAGCAAATCCTCCAGAATGGAAAGGGAGGGGCTGCTTGGAAAGCTGGCTCTCAGCAACTTGTCTTATGCTTCTCTCAGGGAAAAACATGCAATCCTCTAGTGTCCATGTACACTCTGTTGGGGGTGAACACCTTGGTTCTGTTTAAAACCGCTAACGCTGTTGACAGCTGTGCCAGGAAGGGTTAGGACCAACTACAAATTAATGTGGGCTGTAAAATGTAGTGTGTTTCCCTAACTTCCTGTTTTTCCTGAAAAGAAAATAATAAATCTTTTATTCAAATGCAAGGTGTGGTACGGGTGTTTTCTAATCCATGACTGTCTTCCTTCCCCCACTTAGACCTTTTAAGGAAGTCCGGCTGAGCAAATAAATACAGGTGAATTAACAAGCAAAAGCCTCATAAAGCTGATTTGCTTTAGCAAAGGATGGTTCCCTTCCAAAAAACTCCTTCCTTCATTCAAATTAGAGGTATTGGGTTTTGAAATGTATTAACTGCTGTAATTCGTACATTTTTTTTTTTTTAAGATTTTATTTATTTATTTGTCAGAGAGAGAGAGGGAGGGAGAGAGAGCAAGCACAGGCAGACAGAATGGCAGGCAGAGGCAGAGGGAGAAGCAGGCTCCCTGATGAGCAAGGAGCCCGATGCGGGACTCGATCCCAGGACGCTGGGATCATGACCTGATCCGAAGGCAGCTGCTTAACCAACTGAGCCACCCAGGCGTCCCTGTAATTCGTACATTTTAACAATCAAAATCCCTGTCCTGATTTCTCTTTTAGTCACCATGAGCTGGTTCATTACTGTGGTTCCTCTGTTCCCCATCTCCGCCTTCTTAGATGAAGGAGCTAGAAGAATTAGTACCCACAGTTAAGAGTTTTGATAAGGTTCTTGGTACTTTTCCCCCTTCGCCTCCCAAAAACAAAGGTGAGAATAAGTACATTAACTTCAGAAACCCTATCCTGTCTTTTTTATTTTCAGCTACCATGAAAGGGAGCTGAATCACCATGGAAATGTGCAAATGCGAAGTTTGCATATTGGTTTCAAGCCCTGAGCACCATTATTTTGTACTAATAGTATAAACAGGATTCTGTGCTTTTGTGCATTTAGAAGTTCATTTCTGCTTGGAAGCCCCTCCTTTTCTGGAGCCTAACTACTAGGAGATGGCAACTTTTTATCATTACAGAGCTGTTACACATTAGTACACTCCTAAGCAGAGGGTTGGAGGGAGGGTAACATTGGACCCAAGGGTCTGAATCTGGGCCCTTGTTGAGTTCTGTGCAGCGCAGTCGCTCCATTGGTAGGTTGTGATGTAAAGCCAGTTCTGTAGTTGAACATTGGCTTAAATGGGTAACTAGGTAACATGAGTCACTGAGGGAGTCAAAGTAATCAACACTTCCCTTCATTTGACATAACCAGACTTTGTCTTTCAGTTCCTGTTTTGTGACTTTAGAGCTCTTGCTTCATACTGTTTCCTTTCAGAAAATATTAAAGCAGTTGTGACAGCTGGTATATTTTACAAAAATTAAAATGAAATAACTTGCACAACTGGTGTGTTGCATGGCTCCAGCCAGATGCTCAGAGCATGGGCTGTTAATTCCTGGAGTTCAAAATGGTCTGCTGTCTTAATTTATCCCTAGTTCTTTTTGGCCCCACTCGTTCAATGATTACAGAACTTTGTCTTCTTGAATCCTCCCACACTGTTCAAAGGCTTCTCATTTTCAAGATTTGAAAATTTAACTGGACCAGCTTTGTAGTTTCATAGTTGTTACAGTGTTATCTTAGTTATGTGAAGCATGTGGGAAGATGGGGGTTGGGAGTGCAGATGGAACAGGCATCTGAGGATTCAGTGGGGGTTTGGGGGGGGTTGGTTTTGTTTTTTTAGACTTTGGAATTTTGGGGGCACCTACCTGGTTCAGTTGATAGAGCATGCAACTCGATCTCAGGGTTGTGGGTTCAGGTCCCAGGCTGAGCATGGAGCCTAGTTTAATGAAAAAAAAAAGTACCTGACTGGTTCAGAGGAGTGTGTGATTCTTGATCTCCAGGTCATGAGTTTGAACCCTATGTTGGGTGTAGAGATTACTTAAATACATTGTTTTTAAAAGATTTTAAGTAAGCTCAGTACTCCATATGAGGCTCAAATCTTAAACCCCAAGATAAAGAGTCACCTGCTTTACCAACTGAGTCAGCCAATTGCCCTGAGAATTCAGTGTTCCTTACTCATGATTCTTGGGAGGTCAAAAAAAAAAAAGAATACACGTGGCAGGCTTTTGTTCCCACACTATACTTGGTTTCCCTTTGCGGTTCCTTTCTTTATCTGCATAGAATAATCGTTCCTGACTGATGGGAAACCTGCTAGGACCAAGGATACTACTCCAGATTTTACCCCTTCCAAGTTTCCATTTCCATGGTGTATTTCTGCTGTTTCTGTATTATTCACTTTGCCTGCTCTCATTCCTGTTCAAGGATTACTGTAGTTTATTAAGAATGTTTCAACTCAGCAATGAGCTGGGACATTTAATGAGCTCTAGGCAGCCAGATGTTCATTGGAGTCTCTTCATTTATTCATTACATGGCAGTGGACTGCTTGCACCAAGCACTGTTGGACACTGAAATTGTAAAGGGAATAATTCTTCCTCAAGAAAGAAAAGACTAGGGAACTGGGGTACCTGGCTGGCTCATCAGTGGAGCATGCAACTCTTAATCTCAGGGTTGTGAGTTAAAGCCCCACATTGGGCATGGAGACTACTTTAAAAAAACAATAGGGAACAGTGGAAAGAAACATGACAACTAATGGTAGAACGATCTTTGATTGGATCCTAGATGAAAACTATAAGGGACATGTGTACAGTTGAGGAAATTTTAATATGGACAATATGTTAAACAGTACTGTATCAGTGTTAAATTGAGTGTGTTTTAATTATAGTGTGATTGATTATATAAGAGAAGGTCCTTGTTCTCAGGATACGTGCTGAAGAGTTGAATGTATTACAAAACCATAGAATGAGAAAGCCAGTTGTGGCAAGAGTCAAAGCTTAGGGGCACCTGGGTGGCTCAGTGAGTTAAGCCTCTGCCTTGGGCTCAGGTCATGATCCCAGGGTCTTGGGAATGAGGCCCACAACAGGCTCTCTGCTGGGCAGGGAGCCTGCTTCCTCCTCTGTCTGCGCCTCCCTCTGCCTACTTGTGATCTATCTCTCTCTCTCTCTCTCTCTCTGTCAAATAAATAAATAAAGTCTTAAAAAAAAAAGATGTCAAGGCTTACAGTCTTGTAGGAGTGACAACCATGGACAAAAATAGAATACATTGCATAAAGTGCCATGATAAAGATATTCTAAGATAAGGAGTGGGACAAAGGGTGACCACTTCTGGAAGCAGATATGGTCAAGGCCTCAAAAAAACATTTTTAGGGCCCACACTGGGCTCTGCTCAGCACAGAGTTGGCCTGAGTTATTTCTCCCCCTCCCTCTGCTCCTCCGCTCTATGCTTCCTTTCTCTGTCTCTAAAATAAATAAATCTTAAAAAAAAAAAAAAAATTAGGTTGAAACTTAATGAATAGGGAACAAAATGCACAAAAGTATGGTCTTAGGAAAGAACCTCCAGGAGCAAAGGGGAGGGTGGGGAGATGCAGATAATTTTTTTTCTTCTCATTTCTTCCCTCCCTGCCTTCCTTCCCCTTTACCATACATAGCCACTGAATGTAGTATCTGTTCAATTTCTTCCTTTTGGGGCCTTATATAAAAGTAGTGAAAAACACTGGTGGAGGAAAAAAAATGTATCTTTGGTCTTGGAAGTCTACTTGGGTGTAAATGACACAGCTGGGTGGGTTGTGTTTATTTGGGAAGTAAAAAAGACACCATTGATTGTTTCCTCTGTCATGTTCAAGTGGCAGCCCTGAGTACACACAGTCTCTGGGCTCACAGCTATCGCTGGATCTTGGCTGAAGGGCTGGCTTTGGCAAACCTGCTTTAGATCCAGTTGCTTTGAATAAGGTTGTCTTAAGACCCTCATCTAGAGTAGGTAGTTCACTCACCGGGGAAAGGAACCAACTTGAATACAGACCCGAGAGTGCTGTGCTCTCTGCAGAAGACTTTGAGAATAAAGGACAGCCCTCAAAAGTTATTAAACTGGACCCCAAGATACTGAATGGTGGCTCCACGCTCCCTAATCCTATTCCCGTGGGAGACTCGATTACAGCTATTCCCATCCTAGTTAAAAAACCAGTTTGCTCTGACTGCCCAGACTTCCCCACAGGCTGCATTCTTGCCCATGAGCTCATTGTTTTGGCTTCTCTGTCTGTATAAATCCACTGCCAGTGCCAGAGGTCTCAGCCAGGGCCCCCTAACTAGCTGGGGCTGCATTCCATTCAGAATTTCGCCACCCCCACTTGGTTTTCTTCCCGCCCTCCTGTGGTCACATGTGTGTGTTTATTCAAGTTATCCTGGGACAAGGTGTGCTGGGAAAGCCAGCCAAGGAAGCAGACAAGGAAAAGAATGTTTAACTGTTGTGTTTCATCCTGGATTTGATGACTTTTCCACTTTATTTTGATTAAGAAACACCTCAGTTCTGTGCCCCTAAAAAAAAAAAAAAAAAAAAAAAAAAAAAGTTAGTTTCTTTGCTAGTAAGAGGAGCTGGTTTCAAAAATTTTGCTACCCAGTTCAGTCTCCCCTACTTGGCTGATCTGACTCTGGTGTTCAGAGTTCATGAGGAGGTAGGGGTTTTATCTGGGAAACCTTAGCTTTGTGTGCATTTTACTCCTGAATCTCTATGCATCCCCATCCTCAGCTCCCACCTCCACTTCTGAGGTTGCCTGGAGCAATTCCTACCCCTCTCCTACCCTTGGTGGGAACGGTGGGGAGGAGGACAGCTGGGGTGCTGTAAAGAGCAGCTGTTAGGTTTCACTGCTTTGTTATTGACATTTCCTGAAAGGATAGCTTGTTTATTTCCTTAGACCCTGAAAGCCCAGATCTAAGGCAAGGTGGGCCCACCCAGGCTGAAGGGTTTTGGGAAGGGCAATTCTCTCTTGTGGTCAAGTTTTGAATTAATACTGTATGCTTATGGCAGAATAATCCTTTCTTCTAACCCTCTCTCTCTTCATTTCGAAAAACAAAACTGCAGACTGAGGTTGTGGGAGGTGACATGTCATTTCTCAGAAATCCCTCATCAGGCAAAGCAGAGAAACAGAAAGAGGGAAATAACTTTCGTGTCGAAATGAAATGTTTTGTGTGTGTGTGTGTGTGTGTGTGTTTTGAAATGAGGTGGCTTATTTTCAGCTTTAAGGAACAGCTCTGGAGG